CCATGAAATACTTAGTTGGCAGAGAGAGGACCAATAATGGAATTTAAATATCTGAGATCAGTCTCAATGCACCCATGCCTGCCAGAAGTCAATTATTAATAATAGCTAATATTTACCAAGTGCTTACAAACCATATATCCTTCTTCAAGTTTACTTGCATTGTGTTAACTTAATCCTTAAATAGCCCTATGAAAAAGAGAGGATATCTGCATTTCCAGACAAATCAATCAAGACACAGAAGGGTTGACCTAACCGGTTTGGCTCAGTGGATAGAGCATTGGCCTGCAGACTCAAGGGTCCCCAGGTTCTATTCCAGTCAAGGGCATGTACCTTGGTGGCATGCACATTCCTAGTAGGAGGAGTGCAGGAGGCAGCTGATTGATATTTCTCTCATCGATGTTTCTAACTCTCTATCCCTCTCCCTTCCTCTTTGTAAAAAAGTCAATAAAATATATTTAGAGCCGAAACCGGTTTGGCTCAGCGGTAGAGCGTCGGTCTGCAGACTGAAAGGTCCCAGGTTCGATTCTGGTCAAGGGCATGTACCTTGGTTGCCGGCACATCCCTGGTAGGGGGTGTGCAAGAGGCAGCTGGTTGATGTTTCTCTCTCATCGATGTTTCTAGCTCTCTATCTCTTTCCCTTCCTCTCTGTAAAAAATCAATTTCATATATATATGAATTTGATTTTTTACAAATATATATATATATATATATATATATATATATATATATATATATATATATAGAAAGACACAGGAGGGTTCATTGACTAGCAAATGTTGGAACCAGTACTCAGGTGCATGCATCTGGCTCCAGAAACAACCTATATTCACTGCGGTGCTGCCTATCTGATTACTTGCTCTAATTATTGCCATGTTACTCTGTTTTCCACGTAGACCAAAAACATGTAATTGTTTTCTGAAAATGAAATGAAACAGAGACGCAATGGCATCACAATGTTTTCTTGGTAGAATTGTTGAAGAATTCAAATTTGGCAAGTAGAACTGAGATGGAGGGTCTGTCATCCTCCCTCGGCTCATGAACACGGGTGAGGGGTGGGGGAATGATTTAAGTTGGTCTTAAGTTGAGGTGACAACTATTACTTCTCTCCACTGAACAGGAAAATTCTGAGCTCTAGGAAAACTTGAAAGAAAAAAAAAATTAAAGCAGTTTATTTAAAATTGAAAAAATAATACCACACCATGTTAATACTTTGCAGCTTCTTTGTTTTGTGGGATAAACATTTTAAATGAGAAAATTCATCTGGTGATGGAGAGAAATCCATATAGCTATTAAATCTTGTTGGAACCTAGCAGCTTATAATAAGTAAATTCTGTATTGGTTCTATCTCTATAATCAAGTAAAGAAAGAAGGTAAACCACATATAAATTAGGTCCTCCTTATATAAAACACTTGGCAGTAGTAATGCTGAAAAATATTTTCAAAAAAAATAATTATGGCCAGCCGAGACCGGTTTGGCTCAGTTGATAGAGTGAGTGTCGGCCTGCGGACTGAAGGGTCCCAGGTTCGATTCCGGTCAAGGGCATGTACCTTGGTTGTGGGCGCATCCTGGTGGGGGCTGTGCAGGAGGCGGCTGATTGATGATTCTCATAGATATTTCTATCTCTCTATCCCTCTCCCTTTCCTCTCTGTAAAAAATCAATAAAATATATTTTTAAAAAATAATTATGGCCAAAATAATAAAATTCTAACAGAAAATTCTCTTTGTGTTCTTTTTTAAAATTATGCTTTAATTACTCCTAAAAATACTAAAAAAATGAAATAAACTCAATAGACTTTAAGTATTCATGTTTTCTCAGAGAGATACAAAAAAAACACCCTGAAATGTTTTGACTGAAGATGGCCATTTGAAAGGAATTTTTAAAATTTGCAGCACTAGTAAGTGGCATGCATTTTTCACATAGTATAGGTGCTTTTGGATGTTGACATTTTGGGAAAAGTTTTCTGAAAGCTTAAAGAAATGTACAAGTAGTATCTATTTTGACATACACAAAATAGGTCCGAGAAGGATGGAGGACCCAAGGAATGTATCAGTAATTGGATTAATTTGCCGACACATTGAATGGCAGGACTGAGGTCAGGATTTTCAGGAGCAAAACCCGCCCACGTGTTATGACTGAAGGATGCGCTTCGTGCCATTCCATGTGACTCTTTATAACAAAGGCTCACCCGCGTGATTGGACATAGCCTTCCCCTGTTCTTATGAAGGCAGTGTTATAAGTGTCTCCCTTTTACAGACTAAGATTTATAACCACCCTGATCTCAAAACAGGGTCTGAACCTCAGCCCTCAGACCATGAAGACAGGGTGTTTTTCTCCACCAGAGTTTTTGTACAGCCCCTCAGTCCATCCCAGCCCTTATTTTTCTAGTGAGAAAATTCATTTCTACCTTTCCTTGGGCATCACCCTGCTCAGATGTAGCAGCAGCCCCATGTTCCGTAAAAGCAATTCAAAAAGCGAACTTTCCACAGTCTCATCCCAATGCCCTGAACCCTTCTTTGGACAGCCCTGTGGTCTTAACTACCCCGGAGGCCAGACTTGCAGAATTGTTGTATCAGCCAGCGAAAGCTGTCTTTGGTCAATTTCAGACCTTGGGGGTTGTCTCTAATCCCTTGCACCTGAGTGAGAGGCAAAACATCCTTTGCTCTGTGCCATCCCAACTCTCCTCCTCCAGTAGCTCCCATCGTTGGGGCCGGACTTAGAGACATGGGCCTGTGTTTGTTGGCATGGCCCCATGCCTGCCGGAAGCCAATTCCAGCATGTCAGCAGGGCTGAATCATCGGGGAACAGCTAAATAGCATCTCCCCCAAACCTGAATAGGATTGTTAACTGCCAGACAGCTCAGGGCATATTATTGCCTTCTGTTGGCCAAACACCTGGACAGCTGTGGGCTATTCCCCAAACGGACAATGCTTCCGTACACTATCCTTTGATACCCTACCCTTCGAAGTGTATGTCTCCACCTTGCCTTAGGACAAATTGTGTTAATAAAAGCACAGGTCCTTAGTCAAAGGGGTAGTCTTCAGTTCCTTTAGCTGAAGATCCTCTGACCCCCAATGCCTTTCAAAATTATCTCTCGTCTTTGGACTCCTTCTTGAATCTATGCACCAGCCCCTTTCTGCAGATTGCTGAGAGCCCCTTGTAAGGCTGGGGAAAAAAACCCCAGCACATGCCACGTCCGGTTGCTCAGTTCTGGCATGGTAATGCTCTTCAGAATCTTATTCGAGCAAGGAAGGCCAGTAGTCATTTTCATAGTTCACTGGTAAAGAGCTTGTTGGTTTATGGCACTCAGTGGGGGCGAGGAGGGAGGAGTAACATTATGGTGAATGTTTTTCTTCCCTTACTGCTCAAGGAACATGTCCCCGGTAAAGATGGAAACCATGTCTGCACCTCCGCATGGAGAGGATTTTAATCCTTTAATAACTTTACCAGGACCCAGAAGCAGTGTCTTTTTTCTTTCTCTGTCTTTCTGCTTTTTTTTTTTTTTTTTTTTTTTTGTAGTGGTATTTTTTTAAAATTCTACCCAAGAATAGAAAAAACAGAAAAGAAAATGGCCCCCCAAAATATACGTGCACAGTAAAAATTATGACAAGGATGCTCTCCAAGATAAATAAGCCACATTGCCATTTCCTCTGAGAATCCCGCTCTTGCTGTCATTCGTGGATAACTTAGGTTGACTTCTCTGAATGATTCATAAATCAGTGGCTTACACCATAACTGATTTTTAAAAACCAAATGGCAAATGTCCACTACAGAAATGCAACTTGTGTGTTTTTTTTTTTAAAGAAATTAAATTCTGAACCAAAGAATGCAGAAACTGTTCCATAGAGAAATTCCTTCTTTTACCAAGAAGTTATTTAGATAACATGTTTCTTTTAAAGCCTGTTCTTTTTATATTAAATTTGAATTTTCCTAACTGGGAAATCTGTATCATTAACTGCTAGCTTAACACAATAAGAACATCATGGGGGCAAAGTTAAGGCAAAACAGAAACATGTAAGACTGTTGTTCTTTCCATTTCCCTCTTTTGGAGTAATGGAATAGTGAAGTGAAGAGTTACTAGAGATTCAGTATTTTTCCTCCTTTAAGTTGGATGATTTTATTTTTAGCAAGCAAGCATCCTTAAGCTTTTTCTAGTTCTCTCCTCAAAGAAATAATTGGAATTTCTCTCTTTTACAATATATAATAATGGGGAGTGACTTAAGGAGGATCAAGTGCTCACTACTAAACCTGGGCTCATGTTCTGCTGTTACATCAGGAGGAAAAGTTGCTGTGACCTATGTCTGATGCCTGTTTCTGAAACATGGTAGCTGAAATTCACACGCGGTAACTAGTTTACTATAAAATTAATTCATAACTGGCTTTGACGAGGTAGTCAAGGAGGTAGAAAATCCACGATTTCAAGGAATTTAAGATTCTTGGATTTGTGTGTTGTGGGGATGGTTGAATTTTTATATCACTGGTAGTAGAAGGCTTACACGAACCTAAACAGTTCATCATATTATGATGAATTTTTACTATGGAGCAGTTAAATTTCAAGGGACTCAATTTAAACATTTTATATGATATCAAGGTGCGTTCCAACTTTTAGCTTGCATCTCTCAGCGCTGGGCTTTCCTCATGTCTACTTCTAACTCAGTATGATAGGACATGTCTACAAAAACTTCAGAATCTTTGATTCATACATGTCAAATATTCAATCGCGATATTTAAAGGCAAATGTGAATGAGACCACAAGAATCAAACTAAGGTTTTTTGAATAGGTTGTCTCTAAATATGTAACACTTCAAAAATGTTTAACTTGGATTGCTTTCAGGAGCTAGAGGCCACAAGTCCCACTGAGCCAATCTTGTGTAGGGAATTGTCATATGTTCTATTGTATGGCCAGACTGGAAATACAAGTAAAATTGGGGAACATTCATCCATAATCGCCAACTGAGGTTCCGTAAGAAGGAGGCATATCAAGGAAAACCAGAAAAATACATGGAGACGAGTATCAAGGACAAGGTTGTGAGAGGGGCTGACCCAGCGTCCTTGGGGACAGGCCGAGCGTGAGGAGGGAGCTCTCCACTAAGAAGACAGAGGCCCAGAGCCAATGGGCCCATGGAACATCCAGCCGTGAATGGCAGCAGGCTTCTGGCTGCCTGGGAATCTGGAACCTGTTGGAGATAAAGCCACAGGGCTGTTCTGTTGTTTGTTTGTTTAATAATTCTTTATTATTGAAAGTATTACATATGTCTCCATTTTTCTCCCATTGACCCACTCCAGCCCACCCCCCTGCCCAGGCCCTCACCACCCCATGGCCTGTGTCCATGGGCCCTGCACATGTGCATGCAAAGTCCTTGGTTGATTACCTCCCCCTTTACCTCCCTCCCCAGAACACAGGGTTTTCATTGGCTGCTAGTCACCTGAGGCTTCAGTGGAGAGAGAGTTGATGCAGACTGAGGTGCTTGAGACTAGGAAGCATTGGAGGGAGACCTGGAGTCGATCCCACTCCCCATCTCCCCCCCCCCAAAACTGAAACAGCCATTTTTCCTACGATGTGCTGGCCCCTTTCAGAAGCCATAGCTCAGGAAAAGGGGAAAACCCTGCTCTCAGTGATACAGACAGCCCCGCCCTCGGGAGCTCTGCCTGCCACACCCTGCACATTGATCTTTGCGGAGAGACATATCCATGAACATGGTCACTAGAAAGGCTAAGTCCTATGGTGTAAGCATACCCATGTCCACTCAGCTCCTGCTATGAAATGGGAAGGTTTTATAGATGTAAAAAGGGTCCTGCCTACTTTTTTCCTACTCTCTTTGTTGGTTTGCCTTACGCTTTATTTGTTGGTTCCCCACCAACCCCCCGAAGGTCCTGACACGTATGTAGAAGTATCTTTGATTTATGTGCTTAATGGATATTCTGACAATTGTGAACATGTAAAATGAACACAGTAGGCTAGGTGTCAGTATCTTTCAGAGAGTGAACTTTGAACCTGGCAGACGGTGCTCCTGGTGAAGGAGTAATTTTCCTTGGGTGCAAACCCCCTCAGCACAAGGATTATTGACCCACAGATGTCTAATGACTCCTCGGTGCCACATAGCCAGCCCACGGCCACCCGGGCATGCTTGGTTCCTGTGCCTTGGGGAGTTCAGCAAAGAACGCTGATGGAAGCCCACTCCCCAGCTAAATGCAATCTGTAGGTTGTGATTCTTGTTCCTCTGTCCCCCCAGCACCTCTCAGAGTCCCTGCTGTAATAATCGTCAACACTGCACACACACACACACACACACACACACACACACACACATAATTGGATTCGGGTCCCAATTCAAACCACCTGCTCTGGAATACCAACTCACAAGCACCACCAAACAAGGGGAATACTCATGTCTTTATCCCTCACAGAGGATACGGAGAGGCCTGGCATCAGCCCACGTGACCTCTGGTGCTTCCGAATAGCAATAGTGTTCACCAGGTCAACAGCTTTAGAGGCCAGAAGCCCAATCATTCGGCGGTAGGAATCCTTAAAAGAAATCCAGAGGCTCAGGGCTACGAATATGCTGATGTGAAGTTAACTCCAGTGTCGTACAGCTAAGAAATCATGTTTTTTGGGGATTTAGCAGCATAGTCACATGTACATTGCCTTAAGATCACAGTTGTTTGTTGTTCCTGTTCATTGGTATTATCAAGTCTATGAATACTGCTCCTCACATACGTGATGTAGATATGTGAGGAGCAGTATTGGTGATATCAGGAACTCCTGAAATCTCTGTTACTTGCAAACAATGGGCAGAAGAAAGGATCTGATTTGCCTGGAGATTGTTGTGCTGTGTTCCAGTTCACACTCAAGAAAGGCACCCGCTTGAGTCCTCTCCTGCTCCCATCCATCACTCTAAAATAGGGGTGTCGAACTCAATCAGAGAAGGGGCCAAAATCTAAAATCCAGCCTAAATCACGGGCCAAATGGTTTACTGAACAGTCATAAACTGTCATTGTGATGGAAACGCAGCGGAGTGCAGTGATGACAGCGCGGTGCGGGCCACATTGCAAGGCCTGGCGGGACGGATTTGGCCCGCAGGCCTTGTGTTTGACACATGTGCTCTAAAAGCTTTGACAGGTGTCACACTAAAGTGCTGACCGCACCGAACCAGGGTCTTACGCTCAATAATTCAGAGCAACTGACACTGTAGTTAAGTAGAGTTTTAAACAACAGCCAATGAGCTGAACATTTGAGATACAAATTTTGGAAAGAAAAAAAAAGTTAAACACTGTTAACTTTGAATACAGAGTCTTAGTTAATTTTATATGAATTTGAGAGACAAAGGCATGCCCCATTAGACAAGGCGGATTAAATTTGTTGTTCATGCTGGCAACGAGGGAAATACAATGACCAATACGCTTTTTTAGTTACACAAAATGGACCCGGTCTAATCCAAAGAAGAGGACTGGGGATGCGCCAAGACTTGGGTACATACCTTCTGACCATGGTTTGGTGAATGACATGCAAAGCCAGGATTTATACATGTCACACACGTGAACACAGAGATGGCACTCAGGCTGAAAAATCCTGTACAAATCCAATAAGTGGTTTAAGATGTGCAAATAGAGGCTTCAGAGGGGGGTCGGGCATTAGACACCCCCCCGGAGCATGTGCGAGAGAGTGTATCCATTACTGTGACAGCTGGGCCGACATTGTAAAGAGAGCAGCTTTGTATTACATTTGTTTTAATGCATACATTTCCCCTGTCACGGGCACCCCAGGAAAACCACTAAGCACAGAAATGAATGGTGCCCATTCCTGGATATTCACACTTGTGACAACAGGAGAAAGAATCACAACACAACAGTAAACAAACAAAAAAATTGTTATACAAATTATTTTTAAGTTGCCGCAGTAGGAAAAATCTTGAAAACCAATGGGCAATATTTTAATAGGAGAAGTGGGGAGGGAGGCAGCAGCATTTCCTATTTGATCATAAATTTCCTTCTCCTTATATACTATGGACAGTCTCTCTGATGATTTTTATTTTATTTTTTAAAATATATTTTATTGATTTTTTTTTTTTACAGAGAGGAAGGGAGAGGGACAGAGAGCCAGAAACATAGATGAGAGAGAAACATTGATCAGCTGCCTCCTGCACACCTCCTACTGGGGTTGTGCCCATAACCAAGGTACATACCCTTGACCGGAATCGAACCAGGGACCTGTGAGTCCGCAGGCTGATGCTCTATCCACTGAACCAGTTTCGGCTCTCTGATGATTTTTAAAAGCAGGATCACATTTTAAACAACATTTGGAACCTAAAGATCAAGAAGTGGTTCTCTCTAATATGAAACTTAAGGTATAATTCTGAGTATGGGAAAAGTTAGGAGTCTATGATTGGATGCAACCCATTTCCACGTTAGGGACAGAGACCACATTCCCTGTAGCTGTTCTATAACTGCTGGATGGATCGATCAGTATGCAGACCTTTCTAGAATTTTATGTAGCTCATAACTGAATAGCAAATGCCAGTGAATGCCTAATTGTGCTTTCACAACGATGGTCCAATACACATGACATACTATTAAGCTGATTTTGGAACAACATGGAAACAGCCTTAATAAAAGCTAATGATTAAGAAGGCAAGATTTTGGTAACCAAAAGGAGGTCAGGGGTTGCTTGAAGTGTGGGGTGAGGGTGATGTTGACTAGAAAGGGCATGAGGAAAGTTTTTGTGGTAATAGAAATGTGCTCTATCTTCACTGTGACTGCAGGTGTATAGATCTTTATCAAAGTTCATTGGACTGTGCAATGAAAACAAATGTATTTCATTGTGTATAGTTTTTACCTCAATAAAGCCCTCACCCACCTACTGTCTGTGTCCATTGGTTATGTTTATATGCATGCATACAAGTCCTTTGGGTGATCTCTTACCCCTCTCTCCCCACCCTCCCCTGTCTTATGATCTCTGAGCACATAATAATCTGGCCACTCAGTGTGTGTGTGTGTGTGTGTGTGTGTGTGTGTGTGTGTGTGTGTATATAGATAGATAGATAGATAGATATATATATATATATATATAGATCTTTATCATATATATATATATATATATATATATATATACTAGAGGCTCGGAGAATGAATTCGTACATGGGTGGGGTTTGGCCAGCCTGGCCAGGGGGAGGGGACATGGGCGGTTGGCCAGCCTGCATGCTGGTCAAACTCCTGGATGAGGGAACAATTTGCATATTAGCCTTTTATTATATAAGATATACGCTGAGAGGTCAGATTATTATACATTCAGAGATCATCATAATCTGGCCACTCAGAGTATATTTAGAAAATGTCTCATTGGCAAATAGGTAGTTACTTTTTAAGCCTAGGCTCACACCCAATATTTCTGTCTCCAAAGAATGTACTGTCTCCAGGACCCAATGTGTTTACCTGTCAAACTCAACAAAAATTTCAACAGAGTAGAATGCCAGCCAACAGGCAGCATTTCTGGAATAGCATGACCAATGGGAACTGGTGGGAGGACCAGAAGAAACAGGTTATTTTGTTCACCAAAAACTGTAAAGAACTTAAAAGAACTACAGGGTATTCTGTATTCTTGCAATGTTAAATTTGTCTATCTCCTTATATTTGTTGTTGTCTATTCTTTAGTAAATTCTCCTGTAAAACATCTCAATAATGGGGCTTTGAAACAAGGATCAAGTAAACTTCAGGTTAAGTGAACAACTTAAACGACCTAATGTTGAGAAGACTCACTGACTGATTTTTTAAAAATATATTTTTATTGATTTCATAGAGAGATAGAAACATCAATGATGATAGACCATCATTGATCGGCTGCCTCCTGCATGCCTCCTACTGGGAATGGAGAATGCAACTCGGGATCCAAGGGTTTGCAGGCTGATGCTCTATCACTGAGCCAAACCAGCTAGAACAGCTCACTGACATCTTAGTTGTAAAAAGCCTCTATACACTATGTTTGTCCTGTAGCCTTTCCATGACAGTACAGCCTGGGGCAATATACATATGCTCAGAGATTTTGTTCCACCTGACTCTGCCATCCCTACCTCTGCCTTCCCTCCCCAAGCAGCTGACATGCACATATGCATAAAAATTAATGTTCCCGTTTCAACTAACTCATTTGGCAGAAATAAGCTTGTAAGCCAAAGCAAACATAGAGGTAGGGAAAGAAAGAATGCGTAAACAAGAGGGGGGAAAGGGCATTTGGAGATTTGACAAAAGGAATAGCAGCATTAGATACTTTAGAACAAGCACAGAAAAATGCCCCACTTTTATCATTTTAAAACGGTTATCAAACTGATGCTACGCAGTTCACAGTCACAAGGTAAGGAAGCAAAAATAAAGACCATTGAACTCAGAGGCAAGAGACATGATACAGTTCACATGTGAATTATAAGGATTGTAAAGGACATAGATGGTATAATTTTGGATTTTCTGCTGGATGTGTATTTTTCCCATGAGAAATTTTACCTAAAGATGACCATTTTTTGTTTGTTTGTTTGTTTGTTTTAACCCGTGTCCATGCTGAGCATTAAAAAAACATGAATTCTAAAACTTTCTTATGCACATCCATCAGCCAAATGGGAGTTTTAGTTAGAGCTGCTAATTCTTTTTATTGTCATTTTCTTCACCCTGAAAAGACTTACTTTTTGACAGTTCTCATAGCCCCAGAAAGTGTGCTGTGGGCCTTCAATCACACAGAAAATACTCTGGGTGGTTTGCTGGCATAACAACAGTAGACTTAGACCCAGCAGAGTGGGTCATTAAATAACAAATATATAAAGTATACTTTTAACACTTTTATGTGAAATTATTTTAAAACACAAGGATAAAAATAATATAGAATTAACGGATTAGTCCCATTTGGACTCTGCTCATTGCCTGCGATATTTACCATTTAGTTGACTATGTAACGACAATAGCTAATTATTAGGATTACAACTACAGGAAAATAATATTTAAAGTCATCTGTGTATATGTTAAATGAAGAAAATCAGATTAAATAATTAACTGGCTATATCTAATTTCGTCTCAAAAACATTAAAAATTAAACCTTCCTGGGGAAGTACTTAGAGATGAGGATAGAATGTAGATAAATTATCAGACTACCCCAATCCTGGGCTTGAGCTGAAACGCTGCCCAGGTACACACCGCATTGATATATTGCCCTGTTTCAGCAGTGTGATCCTAGATCATACATATAAGATACATTTTTCCAAAGAAAAAAATAGGTTGAAAATGTATATTTCTCCCTTGTCACATCCTAGTCTCTTAAGGAGCCAAAACAAAATATACAGCAGAGCTAGTAATTCGAGGCCCAGCACCGTTATCCTTATGTTTGCTCTTCTGTAACTATGGCAGTAAAACTCTCAAAATCAAATGACCCTTTTTATGTCTACCTTTATTTGTCTTGTATTCCAATTGCGAAGAAAGTCTATAAAACAGTTGAACTCTATAGCTTGTGACAGTCCATTCATGTTGGCAAAATAATGGAGACATGGCTGAACTTTAAAAAGAGATTTGTCGGTGACCTTCATTAGAGTAAGTAAAAGAACTTCATTCTTGAAAGAAACTACACTAAGAATAAAATTTATCTAAATTTAACTTCTAGGGAATTAAAAATGGAATTCAGGACATTCTATTCTGTACAATATACCTTTAAATTAAGTGCTCTATAAGATTTCATTTAATGCCAAAGATTAAATTATTCAATTATTTTTTTAAAAAATCTTCTTCATTACTTTATATCTTAGTTTAAGATATAGAGTTTTAGTATATATATATATATATTATATATATATATATATATATATAATACATTTATATATATGGATAATGTTTCCATTAATTATAATTTCTGAGCAAGTGACCACATTGTATGACCAGTAAATTAGCACAATTAGAAACATGCCAATAGAACATAATGTCATGAGCAACTAAAACTTCCGCAAATTAGTGTGCAGCACACTTCCCCAATAAGGGAAATCACAACTGTAGTGCATGGTAGTTAGTCATAAAAATCATGCAATTTGTAATGTCGACTCAAGTTCAGAATACTTTTACACATCAAAAGAGCATGATTGGTTTTCCTCCTTAGACTTTCCCAGAGGATTTTGTGTGTCTGCCAACTCCATTTGACCACTTATTGACCAAAGATACATCAATTCTGACCACTCTCTCAGCTCTGCCACTAATGTCCTGTTGGAGTCTCTCTCCCCCACCCCCACCCCGACCCCGCCCCCACTCTGAGCCAAATGGTTGAATTAACTAAGCTTTAAAGCCACCTCTAGATCTATAACTCAAGAATACTTGAATTAGATTATAATCTCTGGACTTTTTCAGCTCTAAAATGTTGTTTTTCAATATCTCATGCTCTCTCATCCTTATAGCAGCAGCAGTAGCAAAGCTAGTCCACAATTCATCTTGCAGGAAAGAATGAACTTTCAGGGATAGCCAACCTCCAAGATGACCCCTGATGATTCATACCTTTAATATCTATAGTCTTGTGTAGTCCTGATCGCCGGCCAAGCCTAGGAGCCCTACCCTATATGTTGGGAACAGTCTCTTAGATTTAAAAATTAAAACCTGGCAAGGCTTACTCTAACACTGAAAAAATAGGATGATGCAGCGATGACATGCATGGACTCTGGCTTGCACACTTTGTGGTCAGCCCTG